GGCTTTTCCGCTGGCTGGCTTCCGCTTTTAAACATTCAAATAAACCTACCAAGTAGTTACATGACAAAGTGGTGGCGAAAGCCAAGTAACAAGAACATCTTCTTTCGTTTCCTTTTTTGCCACTAGGCACGCATAGGATAGAAAAACATAGCGGAGAAGATTTTGATGTAAAAGTCGCTGCCATCGCACGGGAGACTAAAACACCAACGCGCAAATTTCCCGAGGCTTTTTGGATAATTTCCAAAACCCGAGAATGAATGGTAGGGAAGAATTCCCTGAGATAACGCGTGATCTAGCCCCGTATCTCCAAACCGATTTTTAATGTGGGGTGGTGCACTAATCAACCATATGCGACCCTGAGCGGTTGTTCTTCCTCGGTGGAAGACAGGTGAAAAAAAGCAAAAAAGCGGTGGGTTTTTCGAGAAGCCGTAGACCTTGTAATTATTGTTCAGATTTTCATCTTTTTGTTTGCGTTGTTGAAGCGTTTGATCTAGTAAATTACATATTAGTGTACCCTTCCAGGCTCTGATGAAGGCGATACTACCGAAACGTCAGCTACCGCTGTTGTGTTGTGCGTGTTATATTTGTAAGGAAGTAGTGATGTGCTGAATAACAACCTCGCGATTGCTGTGTAAAAAAGAGAACAACAAAAAAGTTAACATTGTAATCAAGATATTGTTGAAATTATCTCTAAAATAGGTAGGAATGAAACGGTCATAGATCGGAAAAACAAAAAGGCACAAAACCTGTTTGACAGACGGTTACCAAAGAAAGAGCGGTTGTTCTTCCTCGGTGGAAGACAGGTGAAAAAAGTCGGTGGGTTTTGTGGGAAAACAGCATCAAAAGTCACTGCTCTTTACGTGCCTTTATACGACATATTGGGAAAATTAAGGAATCCCCGAAGTGTTCGACACTTCAGTCCGAAGTTTAAGTCAACCTAAGAAGAAGTCTACTAGGAACGGAAAATACCACCTCCTCCGTTTAAACTACAAAGATTGACGGTGCCCATCCTGACGACTTTTGTACCCTATTATAGCTACATCAAAAATGCTGCAGAAAATTTCTTAGTTGGACAACATCAATAGGCACCATATCATTTCTTAAGGCAGACTGCGTTGTATCGATGTAAATAGCTGTTTGTCCACCTATCGATCTAAATGAAAGATAAATATTTATACTTCTCCGAAAATTCGAATTCGCTTCTGTTTTTTCCCCTTTCCATCTTTTTTGCAGAAGGGAGAAACCTCAGGTGTCCGCTGTGGTGATCGAACCCACTATCACCCTTTTCAGGGGCTGATGTGTTCACTACCACACTTTGTAAGTCCTTCGTATCAGCTTTCTTTCAGCTGAGTTTTAACCTATAGGTGCTAAACACGCGCGAATAGGATTGATCTAGGACGTTATCCCTGGAAAGGATAATTACAGGGTTCGATCCAAATCGCAGACACCTGCGGTCCGGAGTTTTGCGAATAACTCAGCACCACTGTGGTTATATTTCACATCATACATCATCATATTTCACATCAGTTGCCATGAATAAGAATTAGAACTAAATAAAAAGCGGCTATACGTATGTAAATTCTTACTAACTGGTTAGTTGAGCTGAGAAAAGGTTGGTATCAGTTGCTATGGTTGTTGTTGCTGTTATTGCTGTGGTTCTATGGTTGACGTTTCGGCAACTTCGCCTTAAAGCGTGCACGTATTTTATGTCACAATATCCCTATAATTGGGTAAAGCATATATAGTAATAATGGGAATATAGCAAATAAATAAACGCCATCTTGTTATCTTGTTAAAAGGAACTTTATTTTCATTTCGGTCAATAAAATTTTATGTGAACTCAGACATGTTGGCTTGAAGCACAACGCCACTAATAGTTCCGCACCATATGAATTGGGCGCAATGCATATCTGAGGTAACGAGTGGACTGTTGCTTTTGAAATATGGTGGATTTAAACAACTCGCATCAATACCACTGCAACGAAAGTCGCCAGGAGAGTCACTTTCAAAGATCCAACCTCTACTTCTCGAATCGGATTGTATTATCATGCTTATCAGCTGTGTAAATGAGTCAAACTGGTGGTAGTTCTTTGTTTTTTGTTACGATTTAGAATAACGTCTGCCTGCTAGAGACGCGCTGAGATAATGGACTGAACTTAGTCGGAGCTTCTCCAATGTCTTTGTTCAGCAGCTATAGGTGATTTATTCTCAGCGTCGCCATTTGTACCACCTGTATCACCTGCAGACCCGTTGATCGTCGAGTGGCTCAAGCGGCAACAGTAAATCTTCCATTTTTCCCTGTCGTGTGCAAGCGTAGCCCAGTGGGTTTTGCTCGCCCTAAGGACTCGTCGAGCATCATACCTTTCTTCAAGGCCCTTTGTGAAGAACTCTGACCATCGGGTCAGTGGTCTTCCTGCAGTACGATTGACATCCCGACGAATCCAGTCACTAACAGCTGTTGTCCATCGGTTGTGATTCATACGCATTACGTGTCCGGCCCACCTTATCTTCGACTGTTTGGCATACAGAACGACATCTTTGACTTTTGATTGTTGACGCAGGTCAGAGCTTCGAATCCCTTCCCTTTGTGTGGAACGGAATACTCCCAGCATCGTCCTTTCGACTGCGCGTTCGATAACACTCAGTGGCCTTTCATCCTGCTTACGCAGCGACCAGGTTTCTGACGCATACGTTAGGGCAGGAAGCACCGTTGAGTCGAAACGGTGGGCACGGAGTAGGGCGTCCTTTGTTCTCTTCACTACATCTCCCCGATGCTCTTGAAAGCTCCTCAAGCCGCTCGTTTCCTCTCGCTCAGCTCTGGAGCTAAGTCGCTTAATATGTTGATTTTCCGACCTAGATAGATATCGCTGGAGTATTCAGAGATATTCGTCTCAGTGAGCATGAATGAGGTAGAGGAAAGCAATCCGTTCCTCATGAACATCGTTTTTGTGAGATTTAATCGAAGACCAATCTTTCCACAGGCTTTATTAAAGTCGTCAAGCATACGTTCCGCCTGGCTATTGTTTGGTGTTATAACGACGAGCTCATCAGCAAAGCGAAGATGGTGTAACTGCCGACCATCGATTTTCACTCCCATATTATCCTATTCCAATGTTCGCATGACGTTCTGGAGGGTGGCGGTAAGTAATTTTGGCGAGATGGTCTCGCCTTGGCTAACTCTTCTTTTGACGTCAATGTTAATATCGTTGTAGAATGGTGATACCTTGGCTGTGCAATTTTTGTACATCTCACGAAGAATCTTTATGTGCTGAGTAGGGACTCCTTGACTATCAAGGGTTTCCAAGACTGCTTCTTTCTCAACTGAATCAAAGGCCTTCTGTAAATCGATGAAAGTGAGACAGAGCAGTCATCTGTACTCTCGCGATACTTCAATGGGTCTTGTTATCGTGTGGATGTGGTCTATCGCAATAAATCCTTTTCGAAACCCTGCTTGCTCAAATGGCCGTCCTTCCTCTAGTGTTCCATCAATCCTCTTTAGGATGACTCGAGTGAAAAGTTTGTAGACGACAGACAGTAAACAGATTGGGTGATAGTGGCCGATATCGTGCAGGTCACCCTTCTTGAACAATAACACAGGCATGCTGGTTTTCCACTGAGTAGGGATCTTGCATTCAAACAGGTAATGTGTGAAGAGCCCAGCCAGTGTGTTAACGAGGACTGGCGGAAGGTTCTCCAGGTGTTCTGGTCTTATCTTGTCGGACCTGATGCTGTTCGCTTTTTCACCGATGAAATGGCATGTCGGATTTCGGAAGAAGCGGTGGTACAACATATCCATCCCCCTCTATTTCATATGACGGAAGATGGACGTGGCTGTCGAAGAGATCCGTGTAGTATTCATGAATGATTTTCTTTATTGCCTTTTTGGACGCTGTAACTGTTCCGTCTGGGCGTTGGAGTGCAATCATCTTGGTCTTGTAAATGTCGAAGCTTCGGTGGGCTTTGCAAATGGTTTTCCCAGGTTCTGCAGCTTCGAACTTTACTGGTGGTCATCTCTCCTTGAGATCTTGTTTTATCGCCTGACTGCATTGTTTTGCTAGTTCGGACGTTTGTTCGCGGTTGCCTGCAGCTCGTGCGATTCCACGCTGGCGTACAGCTCGCATGCTTCTGTAGACAGGCGTATCTTGGTAACTTTCGAACTGTCAGCTTTCATAGCGCTAGCTTAAAGATGTTGAATGTGTCGATCGTATTCTTCGTCGATGTTATCGACAACGGCATCCTACCAACGGCCGACTAATGAATTGAATAAATCATAGTTTACGGTTGTTCTGGGACTTCGGTTTTGGCTTTAGCGGCTTTTTCTCCTTTCCACAAGAAATATAATCTTGCACGAAGGAGACGGTGTTCTGATTCCATGTAGAATTTTGGGACAACAGCGACATCGGTTAGGCAAAACCTTTTATTTACTATGATGTGGTCTATTTCGTTATGGTACTGTACATTGGAAGATTCCCACGTCCAGCGTTAAGAGTGGGGCTTCTGGAATTGCGAGTTACCATAGATAGTCTTGGTCGTCATAATAAGCTCAGATAGCCGCTCACCCTGTTCGATCCATTCTAATCCGTGGGTCCCAATGTGACGTTCTTCAGACGTTCTTCTTGGTCCGATCTTGNCTCGCATGCTTCTGGAGACAGACGTATCTTGGTAACTTTCGAACTGTCAGCTTTCATAGCGCTAGCTTAAAGATGTTGAATGTGTCGATCGTATTCTTCGTCGATGTTATCGACAACGGCATCCTACCAACGGCCGACTAATGAATTGAATAAATCATAGTTTACGGTGGTTCTGGGACTTCGGTTTTGGCTTTAGCGGCTTTTTCTCCTTTCCGCGAAAAATATAATCTTGCACGAAGGAGACGGTGTGCTGATCCCATGTAGATCCCATGGGACAACAGCGACATCGGTTAAGCAAAACCTTTTATTTACTATGATGTGGTCTATTTCGTTATGGTACTGTACATTGGAAGATTCCCACGTCCAGCGTTAAGAGTGGGGCTTCTGGAATTGCGAGTTACCATAGATAGTCTTGGTCGTCATAATAAGCTCAGATAGCCGCTCACCCTGTTCGATCCATTCTAATCCGTGGGTCCCAATGTGACGTTCTTCAGACGTTCTTCTTGGTCCGATCTTGGCGTTGAAATCTCCAATGATGACCTTGAAGAATGTGTGGTCTTCTCTGTAGAACTTCTCCAAGTCCATATAGAACGCTTCGACTTCTTCTTCGTCATAGTTTGATCTCGGCGCCTAAACGACAAAGATTGTGAAAACCGACATTTATCTACATGTTTTTCATCGTTGACGTCTCATTCGGGTTGTAAGCTGTTGGAATGAATCGACTTTCATGGATAAACTCGTGTTGACGAGAACGCCGACGCCGCCGACTCCTCTACTGTCGCATGTTCCGAGGACCAGTTCTTCTCCGGTGTCATAGATGGCGTTGAATTGTTGGCGGCGTCTCGTCTCGGCCAGGGCGATGACGTCGTTCCTTGTCCTTCTAGCTTCATGAGCAGGTCTTCTATTGAGAACTCGGGTGGAAGTGTACGTTCATTGTACAGATCCTCATCATACATCATAGTTCTCTGTAATCCAAGCAGGTTCCATTGGCCCTGAGATATTAGCAGCCTCTGCGTACTTGGCCAACCCAACGTTGCCGAATTGAGTGCTTTTTCGAAGTCAGCGGAATGAGGCCCGTTTCTTTTACTGTGTTTAGCATTTTGATACCCACGTGTAGCTTGCTGGGCTCTGAACGTGGGGGCTGGATATACTCACGGACAGCTTGCCAGGTTTTCCCAGAATGGACATGGTGCGTATTTGTTGGAGGCTACTCCTAACCGCCTCCCACTTACTTCCCTGCGACTTGATTGCAGACTTTTGACTGAATTGACTCCTAGAACACAATCTGCATGAACTAGAACACATCCACACACGCGTGCATGTATACACCTCGTAAATACAGAAAGTATGTGCTAAATCAGAGCAGCAGAAATAGGGAGTCCATCCCCTGGATCCACCTACGTCTCAGGGAAGCAAAGGTCGCTTTTGGTTCACGATTAACACCCTATCCGCCACCCGGTAACGCGCCACGTAGCCTCGCGACCAACCGGCTCGGGATCCCTCACATAAGGGAGGTCCGTGGCGCCATTTGCATAGCACACTTAATGGCGTCGTTCAGACATCCGTCGTAGCGAATTCCGAATCATTGTTTTAAAATGCGAGAGAACAAAATTAGAATGGGCTTGAACTTTAGCATTCAAGAAGTTTTAAAATCAATCCAAACTGGTAAAACGTGGTGACTCTGATAAGTGTGAAAACATACGGACGGAAAATACTAAGCCAAAAAGTAGCTTTTCTTTCCAAAAAAAGCATCGGCACATGCTAAAGAAGTATACGAAACTAGACTACGTACTGAAGAGACACTGAAGAGATGTCTATTTCATGCAGCTCCAGTATTGTCACTAATTCTTTAACTAATCTATAAGATCCGCGACAAATTTTCATTGGACTTCATTTTTTTAACGTAATGAAAGACTGGGTCATGTTTCTTATACCTAATTCGCTAGCCATTTAACTCGTTTACCGCCTCGTGGCTGAAATATGTTCCTGGGTGTTGGGCTGTGATACACAGTATGGAAGGGGGATTCATTACCCCAGCAGGGTTTCCCAAGCTGAGAAGGAGTCCGGCGTTTCCATCAGGAAACCCAGGTAAGAGTAAAACCTGCACCAGGATCCACCACCGTCCTGGTAACAAACTAGTCGCATTGTGGCAAATCTTCCTCTGATCCACAAAGGTGGCGAATGCTTGTGGTGGTGATGACCTAAGGAAGACTTCGGCCAGGCTGACCTCGTAACTCCAGGGAAACAGTGGCTAAGTCAGCGAAACTCAAAAAACGGTCATTGTGCTGGGCTCGCTCAACCAGTGGAGAGGGGCAGTCCAAGTGTCCAAGCATCCAAGTAATTCGCTTGCTTTCCTAGTTATAAGTTGAAGTAACGACATTCAACAGCTATCATAAGAAATTCTATTCAACGAGCACTTCTATATAACAAACACTGCCGGTTATGACAATGTTACTAACCGAAAATAAGACAAAAGCTAACATTTAATCACGCAAAAGCGAGGCGTATAGAGTAACAAGCTTTCTCAGTTGTTTGAGCATTGAACAAAATGCGCATTAGTCCTTTGTTTTCCTTTCCTGAAGTGCATTAGGCTCCTACATTAATAAAATAACGAATATGGAAAAGATATTAGACGCAATTGAATTAGATTAACATACTGGTTTACCAGTAAACCTATATTGGGGTGAGTTCTAAGAGTAGTGCTCATCATCGATGATGTTTCGGAGTCACCGCAACCTTCATATCCGCAATGATTCGATTCTCATTGAGCTGATTGTCCTTAACAGATATTTTTGCGATATCTGAATGTTAGTTCAACGATAAAAAATCAAGGATGCCGTTTTGTACATCAAACGGTTGAAGATAAGGTGGGCCGGACACGCAATGACTATGAACGACAACCGATGGACATGAGCCGTTAGTGACTGGATTCCTCGGGATGTTAAACGCACTGCAGGAAGACCACCGACTCGATGGTCAGAGTTCTTCACGAGAAGTCTAGAAGAAAGACATGATGCTCAATGAGTTCCTAGAGTGAGGGGAACGCAGTGGGCTACCGTTGCACGTGACAGCAAAAAATGGAAGATTTGCTGGCGCCCACTCGAGTCACTCGATGATCAACGGGACCACAGGTGATACAGGTGACCTGAATCTTCGTAGTTTACTCAAGTCGAATTGAACGACGTGAAGCACTGCACAAATAGGGACAACAGACGAAAAATGATTGCGTGAGAATAAGATTATATATGGACAAAAACTGCTGAAAAGTGGAACTGAAAATAAGCAGTACTGGAATATTTCGCTTCTACGACCAGAGTAAGTTGTAGCATACTTCAAGTACAAATTGTCTAAGTGCACTGTAAGTTCCTTTACCTCAGTGGCTGGAGATGCAATGCAAAACACACGAACATTGATTCGATCAAGCTCCCGAGCTAGCTAAACGCTTCACCTATGCACGCTCGGCGAATTAGTAGCAGACTTGTCTAAGAGGGTAAAGGCGCTGGTTGGGCTTTCGCATGACATTGCTCAGATCAAAAACATCTCCTGCCGTTGCTGCGATGCTACCAGTGGAGACAAATCAATAAAGAGCGTGAAAAATTAGATAACGGTTCCTTAGAAAGTTATTGCAGAAGAACAAAGCACGCTTTATTCCTTAACCTTTCATGATTTTAACCCATTTGAAAAAAAAAACCAACGCAAGTATCACGGTACTTCCTAAGTGAATTACACGAAAACTATGAAGATGTAAAACCAGTTTTCCA